ATCCCAGGAGAGCTTCAGCACTCTGGAAGTTTACACTTAGCTTTCTAGGAACCAGACTCACGGCAACAAAAGAAAGAGGTCATAAGGGGGTTTTAAAGAGTTTTTCTCTACCAATCAAAGTCACCCATGCAGCAGCAAGAAGTTCTAGTGCTGTGTTTCCTGGGATTCTGCTGGGAAGGGTCTCAACCATGCTCCCCGAGACCCACTGAGAACTGGGACTAGCTCATACTGGGAATTCCCCCATTATTTGTTGATCCAGGGGCTAGGCCTGAATCCCATTTCTTATCAGTGGGTGTTACCTTGATAATATTTAGAATGATACCTATTGACCAAATGGTTTCCCCTTTTACAAGGGCTCAGCAGTTTCCCCTCCAGGAGAGGGACAACTGTACCCTTTCTTGCCTGAGGTCAAGTACACCATTTACGGATATGCCCTGTTTGGTAAAAATTAAAACATTGTTTTGTTTTGTTTTGTTTTGTTTTGTTTTGTTTTGTTTTGTTTTGTTTTTTCTTTTTTTTGCGGAACCGGGGATTGAACTCAGGCCCTTGCACTTGCCAGGAAAGCGCTTATTCCACTGAGCCATTTCCCCAGCCCCTAAAACATTGTATTTTTTAAGATGACTGATTTTGTTTAATAAAACCAAACATGGCTTGTGGGAGAGTTATGACCTCTGGTACCCACATCTTAGCATATTTTCAAATAGTTTCCAAGATTTTTAATTGCTCAGATGGCCCCTAGTACTTGTGTACAGTCATTATTAGCTTTCACAAAAGCCATCTGCCACACAATAATCTCTGCTTTTGGGGAATGTGGTCTCTGCCTTTGGACAGCTTCCTGCAACCTGGTAAGAACTGGGCATGAGGCTCATGGGAGCTCAGAAGAGTATATAATATGAATGAGTGGGAATACCATCCTCATGACACTGGATTTTAATTCTTTAAACAATTTAAACCTCAAAAGATTATATTCATGAACATTTTGACATGTATTGTTAAGGTCTCAGGATGAATATTAACTAGAAATACACATGTCCCAAAGGGATCTCAATTAACCACAAGCTGTCTGATCATTCTTTGATAAGGAGACACTACTTTTGTCTCAACCACAAATGAGAGGAAAGGAAGAAGAGGATGAGAAAGAGATGGGGATGAGGGAATTTTACGCTTATTGTACACTTGATCTTAGCTAAAAGGCTGAGATATAATTTTATCCTTATTTTAATCTTCTCTCAAGGGTCCACCAAGTGTGGAATGTTTCCCACCATTAAAGGGCATAAACTCCACTGATCGAACTCCATACAAAGAAAGTTTCAGTGGAAAATGGCCTGGTACAAGCATGCTCCAAACCCTCTCATTAGATCCAACACTCTACATCAAGCCTGACCATCTGAGGAAACTAAATATTATGTTTAGTAACATCTTGCATCATATGAGAAAGCAACAGGGTACTAACTTGGGTGCAGATCAGTGCAACAGAATTTCCAACAAAGAGATACAGTGTTGTACTTCAAGTGATGAACTCTACCCCATTATCCTGGCTGTAAATAATTCCCACATTCCTGTTTCTTTTTCTTTTCTCCTTTTGCTGGCTGGCTGCTCTTCTCTATGGATCTTGCCATGGCTGACTCACTACACTTTTCCTCATGGCCAGCTTTCCCCAGTCAGGTCCCTGTTTGGAATCTACTTGTACAAGCCAGCCTATGAGTTTTGTAACGGAACGGAGGTTGAATAAAGATGAAAAACTAAGAGTCACAGGATTAGTTTTAAATGTGCAGGGCTGTGGTTCTTGTCTCCCTTCCACAAGGAGCTCCAAACTTCTAGCTTGCTCTGATTCTATTCACTTAGACATAGGAACAAGCAATCTGAGTAACACAAGGTTCATTGGCCCCCCAAGCCCCATGTACATGTCCAGATAAATAACTGGATCTCAGCTACGCTGCTTTTTCCCTGAAACTGGCAGTATGTTAGCACCATGCACACTGTGTTGCACCTTAGTGCTCATAGAGTAGGCTAATTAAACCTCAGTTTGTTCCAACTAGTCTCCCACACATTTTCTTATTTATTTTTAGCCTTAGAAAGGTATGAGCACATAGACATTCCACATGAAAGGAGTCCTCAAATTTTGTATAGCTCAAAAGCAAATTCATGCAATTCTGTTCCAACAGTTTCTTTTCTCTAAATTGCTTATGTATATGAATAATGATTGGATCCTTGGTATTGCTACAGTGGAAATAAATCTTGTTATCTTTATGTAGTTCTTATATATGTTGGATTTAATCTTCATTAACTTCCATTTAATTATATCTTCAACAAGATATTTAGTATGTTCATTCATCTACATCACTCTTTCCCTTCAGTAGTTTAACTTTTATTATTTCCTTTTTCATATGAGCAATAGCCATGTTTTCTCCATCTCATAATAACTCACATTCAAATGAATTTAATTTGCATAACCTTTGCAAAGCAAACATGGTCTCACTGAATTGTTATTTTGATTCTTTTGCTACTGAATCCATATTTTATATGAAAAATTTAATTCAACACATATGATATACAGATATCTCCATGATTTACACTGTTTGCCACTTTGTCCCTACCCAGTCTTCCTCAAGTACCTTCATTTTCTTTTTTTCTTTGGCAGAACCAGGGATTGAACTCAGGCCCTTGCACTTGCCAGGGAAGCATTTATTCCACCAAGCCATCACCCCGGCCCCCAACTTAATTTTCTCAAAAAGGCGGTGCTCACTCAAAAAACATTGCTTTTGTTTCTATTTATTTGCTGACATATACTCTCTGTTCTTCATTCTTTGTTCACTGTTTATTGAGATGATTCTTGCTCACCTTCTAAAACTAGATGAAAGATTTTGAACTTTCTATAATATCCAAAATTTCAATCAAAGTTTTAATGAATATAACTTCAAGCTTAGCCCAATGACCACTAAGTAGGGTCAGCAGAAGTGAGCCCGCAGTTGTGTGTCTGACACTATCTCCAGGTACACAGTGTCAGAACTGAATTGAATTATAGTGTTGCTTGCTTAGTGCATGGGGAAAATTCATATATCTGGCATCTGAAGTGTTCTACCTTGTTTTAAATAACTAGGACTCTCACCTTGGGACAGCAGTATCAGTGTGGAGTGGGCATCAAACCATCCAAATAACATTTTAGTTTCCTGAAAAACTATGAATTAGGGGTTACTAGAATATTAACTTAATAGAATCATCAGACAAATTATTTCTTTTTTTGCAGTAGGAAATTATTTTATTGCTGTAAATGCTTAGCAAAAGTGACAAAGGCCTAGAGCTTTCTACCCTTTCCACATTGCCTGGCTCCAACACAGACAGACTCTAAGCACAAAGGAATTGTTCATCTACATATTCAATCCCAGGTCTGCTACACTATCTTGGGCATTCTAATTCTCACAGCACCTCCACTCTTTCTTTTGTGGCAACAAGAAAATCAGAAAGGAAGATGAAGGAAAACAAGAAAAACAGAAAAAGTAGAAGACACTGTAATATAAACTGCTTGTGAAGACAAAGAAAAACTGATCAAAACTTTTGAAGAACTCAATCCAAGTGTACAGGCAACAGGGGATGTTGAGGGTCAGTTTGCTAATGTGGGTCACAGGCCACAATGAAGTTTTGGACACTATGAGTATGAGTGTAGCAGCAGTTAGGAAACTGGCTTTTTCCAATGAGCTAGCATTTAGTCATTCTCACAGGATAGGCACTGTGGTAACACTTGTTCTAACCACTTCTGCAGGGTGTTTTGGGAAATCTACAGACATCAATCTCATCCAGGAGAGACTTGTGAAGAAAGGAGTGTGTAGGCGTACATTTCTGAGCAGCTTTGTTGATAGTAATCATTGCCTGATTGCATGGGAGACTGTTTGGCTGTATATGCTGAACTTGAAACTTCTTTAAAAGGGGTCTGAGCAGAACAGGAACACAGTAGCCCCAGTAGGTCCAACAGCTGCAGGAGAGGAAATCTCAAGACTCACAGCATAACTTCAGTAGACAAATTATTTCTATTAACCTGTTAAAAACATAAACTCCTGACTAATGCTTTGATATCTATTTCTCTTTATTGTTCTTGTCACCTTTGAAGAAAGGTATCATCTATCACTGCACTTTTTCTTGAAGTTCCTTGAAGCATAATATTCTGTCCTAATTCTACATCTTAATACATGCTGTCTCTTTTGTCTAATATACTCAATCCCCTTTTCCTTCACTTGCTATTGTTTGTGATTTTTGTTCATGTCTTTGTCTCCTTCTTTTTTTGAAGGGGAGGAACAAGGGATTGAACTTCCCTTGCACTTGCCAGGGAAGCACTTATTCTACTGAGCCATCTCCCCAGCCCTCTCTTTGTCTCCTTCTTCAAGTTAAACTTTCCTGGCTCTTATAATGGGGTTTTCACATCCTAGTTATAACTCTTACTTAACCTATGTCATGATATACACTGTATATCAGTCATTTACTTGTCAAATACCCCTCTATTTCTCTTCCAATCTAAAGTAATCTGCTTAATTGTGTTTATATTCTAAAGCCCAATAAGACATATTAATTAATCTCTAAAGAAGTTAAAGAAATAAGATCAGGCAAGTTACCATTTCTGCCTATCCCATGTCTTCATTTTTAGGCTCCTTATGATATTTTAAAACAGTTAGGGTTAGGGTTAGGGTTAGGGTTAGGGTTAGGGTTAGGGTTAGGATTAGGGTTAGGGTTAGGGTTAGAGATAGGAGTAGGGGTAGGGGTACAGGTCGGGGTATATATCCCACAGCAGTGGGTACACATATGCTTATTATACAATTTGGTATATTAACACATTTGACAATTTTCTACTTTGAGAATAAACTGTGATCACCTTTCTGTCACACAAGAACAAAATAGCTCAATTTTCACAAAATCAAAACTTGAAGCAATGCCATGTTTCCCAGAGAGCAGGAAGGAGGTGAAAGGAAGAGAAAAATGAGTGTGTCTCCTTCCCTTAAAGCCATATGTAGCTACTTGAGCAGGTCTCTCCTGCCCTTCAGTACCCTACCCATTACTGACCTTATCTGTTTGGTTTTTAGACTATAAACCAAGGGATTAAGGACAGGAGTCAAAAAGAGGAAGAGATTGGCCATAGTCACATGGAGAAGCGGAGATTCAAATGTGCCAAACCTATGAATTAAGGCCAACACGATGAGTGGCACATAAAAGATGAAGACAGTGAAGAGGTGGGAAACACAAGTGTTAAGTGCCTTGAGCTGACCATCTCCGGAGGCAATGCTGAGCACTGTTTTCAAAATGAAGATGTATGAAATGACAATGAACACAGAGTCAATCCCAAAGGAACAGAGGACTAGAGACAATCCATAGATGATATTGACTCTGACAGGGCCACAGGCTAGCTTCATCATGTCAGGATGATAGCAGTAGCAATGGGATAGAGTAACACCCTTGCAGAAAGGCAAGCGCTTAAGCAGGATCGGTAAAGGCGCCATCAATACCACCCCCCTAATGACTGCCACACCTCCGATCCCAGTAATCCGAGGAGGAGTCAAAACCACAGTGTAGTGCAGAGGGTGGCGAATAGCTACAAAGCGGTCAAACGCCATTGCCAGCAGGATGGCTGATTCCATGGAGGAGAAGGTATGAATAAAGAACATCTGTGTGAGGCAAGAGTGGAACTCAACCTCCCTGTGATTCAGCAGGAAGACACTGAGTACAGTAGGCAGAGTTGACAAAGATAGTCCCACATCTGTAGCTGCCAGCATAGACAGGAAGATGTACTGGGGCTCATGAAGGGTGGTGGTGGTTTTGATGACAGAGAGGATGGTGCAGTTCCCTAGGAGGGCAACTGAGTACATGATGCACAGAGGAATAGAGAACCATAGTTGTACAGCTTCTAATCCAGGGATACCCATTAGAAGGAGAGATGCTGGCTGAAAACGGCTAGTGTTCGTATGCTCCATTGAGAGTAGTCTCTTGGATGGCAGCCAGATCAGTCTCCAAAAATAAAGATCACTAAAAGGAAAAGATCATTTAAAAGGAAAAATAAGTATAAATCTTAACTAGGAAGAGATAATATATCTGAGAGGTTTTCAGCAGTGTAATAAAGAGACAAGTTAAAAGAAGCCTTTATTAACTCTAAAGACATGGAGAGGATCAAAGGCAGAGGAGAGAATCCTCTGATCTGAGACAAAGAAAGCTGAGGTTTTTATGGACCTTGGCTACGGTGGAATTAGAGGGTCAGTTTCAATTACATATAAGGAGCTGATTGGGGTCTCTCCTGTGTGTGTGTGTGAAAGGGGAGAGGAAACTGTATCCAGAGCTGGAGTAGGGAAGGAGGAGGAAGTGGTCACTGGGAAGAGAAACTGTTGTTTTAAAGGCTTCATCTATATTAGATGACCACCATAACATTTAGCAGTTTATATTGGGGCCAGAACCTATCAATATCTAGCTGCTCTGGGCCCATGTTAATTATAGACAGGTGTACATTAAAGAATTAAGCCCTAGAAAGTTCCTGTTTATCTGAATTACTATCTAGAATTAAGATAGTGGGTAGCTATTATTAAAATGTGAGATCAAGGACGATTCCTTTGGCCTAAAACCACACAATCACTGACTAGGTGAAAGCAAAAACTAAATAATGTATTATTTTATCTCCATGCCTAGAAAAAATAATTATTCCAGAAAGTCTTAAGAAAAGAAAAATAATCAAAATATGTTATGTCCGTATACAAATATGTCAACATTAAATACACTATGATGTATAAATAGTGGTTTTTGAAAAGTTCTCCCTTTTTAATACTGTTTAGTTATATTGTACCTACTTTTGTACTGAGTCATATTATCCAAGACACTGAAGAATTTTTTATGCTTTCTTTTATCACTGCATTAAACCTGTAAATACTCCAGCTTCTTGAATCATGAATATTTTTTCTGGCATTTCTCCCTGAAAAATAAACAAAATTGCATTATAATAGCCCACCCAAAATCCAACTCAACTTTAAAAATTTCATGTGATGTGTAGAATTTACAACTGATTGAATTTGTTTAGATTTAACTGTGCTTACAACTGTAGTTTTCCATGCAGGAACAGAAAATTTTCACGTGATTACATTTGGAGATGGAAAACAAGGTTGAAAGGAAAATAAATAACTGAGGGCCTCTAGAAGACATGCAACACAAACATCATTCTGGCTTTTGTCATATCATATTAATTAAAAATATGACTGAAAGTAAAAAAAAAAAAAAAAAAAAACAGAAACAACTAAGGAAAACTAATGAAGGTAAAGACTATAGGCACAGAGAATTGGGACAAGAAACTATTCCTCCTTCTTAGCCAAAGTTAAAGATTTTGTTCCTTTGGTACTACGTAACTATGAAAGAAAATCAGGCAAAATTATCTTTATGTAGATATACAATTTTTACATATAAGGGGCTGGCCTGGTAGCTCAGTGAACTAAAGCACCTGCTTAGGCAAGGTGCAGCGGCTGGGGTTTGATACCAAGCATGTCGTACCAGCCCCATCCATGGGGCTTGCTGAGAGGGCGGCTGAGACTGGGCATCAAGGTGAGTGCTTGTAATCCTAGCATTTGGGAGGCTGAAAACAGGAGGATCACTACGAGTCTGATCTATGTAGTGAGACCCAGTAACCCTGTAGAACCTGTCCTAAATACAGAAAGAAAAAAAAATCTTCACATGTAAATAAATATATATAATTATCTTTCTATAAGTTTCAATTATTATTCAAGAGCAGATCTCAGACAATTCATATGTTCTTGTGTGGATGGCACTTCTTAAGTCTTGCAAGCAGATCCTCTCAGCTCTAAATACCTACCGTATCCTACTACATTTTCCACAATGTACCTAGTGATGAGTGTTTTATAAAATATATTTATATAGATGTAGGAGTGACACAACGACGGACAGAGCCCCTGGAAGAATGAGATTTTTAATGAGGGTTTGAATACTGAGGACAAGATTGACTTATGGCAATTTTTACAAGAGTTCATGTTCAGTATCAGAGTCACTCAGTTTGAAAGAAAAGGCAAGCCATGGTGTACACTAAACTAGAGTACACAATTCATACCACAAACAAGTCCCATGCTGTTACTCAACACACTATGTTTCACTGCAGTAACACAAAAAGATTCTCTTAAAAATATAAAATCCTGACCAACCACAACCCCATGCCATTTAAAAACATACACAAATATTCATAACACAGGTTCAGATGTATACTTATAAGCTGCTATTCAGATTCCTTGATTCTTGTCCAGAATGTCTAGGAATACATACTCTTCTTTCAGCTCATCTTTCCTTCTGTCGTTAGTGATGAGTGTCACTATCATCTCTGCAGCGTGAAGAACCGCCACTGTCGCTCAACAACCAAGAAAAGCTCAAGCACACACTCAGTGCATATCATCCGTGGTTGGTTTCTAACACTTATGTCCGTATCCCCAATCCTTTCCAAAGACTATATTCCATAAATGATTTAATGTCTCCAGTCATTCTCCAATCTAATCAGATTGATTGCTCTAATCTGATGTGAGAATAAGTATATTATAATAATATACTTATTCTCACATCAGTTTTTGTATACCATTGATCACACTCTCAACAGCAGTTATCTAGATTAATATTGATCACCTCATCTGATTAAGCATGTTTATATATAATATTCTCTATATTAAAATATTCTTATGTGTTGAATATCATAAGAATTAACTGTTAAATTCATTTTAGTATATATATTTTTTCTTTTTTAGTATGTTATTTCTCTTTGAAATTTACCACATATGATCTCTTATTACTACTTTTCTGTTACCAAAGTATGCTGTAGGATTGGGATTACATACTTCACATATCTCAGTGAGGGTGTATATTAACATACAAAAAACATAAGAAAGTCTACTTAAATGAAAAAATTCATAGTTTAGATATTCTTACTATAGCATATGAATTAGAGAAGATATAAAACTTCCAATAATGAATAATTCATCCATTTTCTTTTAAAAATTTTATTTATTTGGTCCAAGATCGTACTATGCAGCTCAGCCTTGTAGTGATCCTCCTCTCTCAGCTTCCCCAGCATGGAGATTACAGGTGCGTGTGTGCCATCATGCCCAGCTTAATTGGCTGGCTCAGCACCTGGGGCCAACACAGCATGCAATACCAGGGATCAAACCTGGGTCTTTGAGCTTGCCAGACAGGCATTTAGACCACTGATCTATCTTCCCAGCCCCAATTCATCCATTTTAAACAATGTTATATAAAACATTTTCAGAGGTTATACTTTCTTCTGAACTCACGCCACATTGAAGATTAGATGCCACTGAAATGTAAAATAAAGGAAAAAGGGCATATCTTCATACAGACAATATTCAAGCTGGATAGTCCCAACTTTCCCAACATATACTTACCCTTGCACTTATTTCCCATTTATCTGTGTGTTGGATTACCCACCCAAAACAGAAAAGATGTTCTTCAGACTATTCCAAGAGATCTAAAAGACATTTAACTACTTTTAGATATTTGACCTCTTTTAATTATTTGACCCTTCCTCTAATGGTGTGCCTCCCCTAAATTTCCTTTTAAGTATTCCAGTCATCCTGCAAAGAAACTCTCTGCTCTCTTGTTATAATACTAACTTACCCTCAGTTAACTTTGGACTACTACAGTGTTCCTTTTGGCTCTTACTTTTTTCTTTCCTTCTCTTAACTTTCCCTTCTCTTTCTTCTGTAAGGAATTGGAGCTTCCTGGACTTTACATTCTAAAACTAAGGAAAATTTCAGTTGTGCAAATCCTTAGGACAGTGCTCTGTCTCCACCGGTTTAATGGGCCCTCCGTTGCCTCCTCACCCTGTTATTAGAAGTCCCAGGTCCAGTTAATAAACACAACCAGCATCACCGCTTCCTCTTGCATCACCATCCTTGCGTAGGTGAGAAAGAATGGAGTCTTGAAATGTTATAACCTCTGCTAGAGGCATCTGCCCAGCACCAAAGTTATCTACTCCAATAAATACTAAATTGTAGAAAAGGAAGGTTAGCAAGATATTCCCATGAGAAAGGTTTCAGTGTGCCTCACAGGAGATGCCACAAAAACAAATTACTTGAAATCAAGCTGATGTCAACCTTGGTTTCCTCAATACTCTACCGTCCTTCATTGATCTCACTTTTAAGCATGAAATCACTTGTGTGTCAACTGCCCAACACGAACATACAATGAGCTCTTTTACATTGGCTTATTGCTGATTAGTGACTATCTACTTCTCAATGCTGGGCTGGATTTTTGAGATAAATAAATTTGAAATGTGATTTGTCTACTTTCAGGAAAGCCAAGGATTAGGAAACATCTCTTTGTTACTACTGTTATAAATGTCCAATGTTGTTAGACATGTGGTATAGTATTGCAATGTCAGATTTGTTTTTAATTTTAAAGAGAATAAAAAAGAAATTATGTAGACTGGAATTTCACTAATCAAAATAACAGGAATTCAACAATGGTTGTTGCATTTATTGTGTATTGTTTTCCAATTAGTTGTTCAGATTACAGTCTGAGTTACTATGGCCTCATCAAAAGGTGCGGCTTTCTGTTCTTTTTACCTGTGAGGTTATTGGTTGCAATTTTCCCTTTACATTTCAAAGTTGTAATATAACTTTCCTTTGGTTGTAAGCTTTTGCTCTCTTTTCACATTTAGCAATACATTTCCCACTGGATTTCCAGTGCTTAAGGCAGTCCTGGTACGCAGAAGGAAGTTCGTATGTGTACGAGCAAGGGAGGAGTGCTGGCTACTTCTGCTTTGAGCCAAAATGTAGTAATAGGGGTGAAATATATCTTCCCAACTGAAACAGGTAGGAAAAATGCACAAAGTACCTGTTTTTAGAGTAATGAATATCTGGCAACAATAAGCCACAATCTCTAAGAGGAAGTTAATAAATAAGGTAGATATGAAAATTACCACATC